CCAGCCCCCCGCCACCCCCGCGCTGCTCGCTGCTGGAGCTGCCTCCCGAGCTGCTGGTGGAGATCTTCGCCTCGCTGCCCGGCACTGACCTGCCCAGCCTGGCCCAGGTCTGCACCAAGTTCTGTCGCATCCTGCACAACGACACCATCTGGAGACGGCGCTGCCGGGAGGGTGAGTGCAGGGTAGCGGGGGTCCGGGCCTGGAGGGGGCTCGTGGCGGAGGTCCGGGCGTGGGGGAAGATTCGGGGATTGGGAGGGTGCTCGGAGGTCCGGTGGCAGGTGTACGGGCCTGGAAGGGGTCTGAGGTCCCCAAGGGCCCTGGACAGAGACCTGCCATAGTCGGGGGCCTCATGAGCAGGGTGGACTCGGGGGTCTCGGCTCCCCATGGGCCCTAGATGGAGACCTGCCACAGATCGGGAAGCACCAGGGGCGGTCCCGGGTGTGTGTGTGTGTGTTGGGGGGGGTCCCGCCACAGATCCGGGGCGCGGGGGCGGGCGAGGTAGCGTTCTCCATGGGCACTGGGGTGCTCGGGAGAGGGATGAGGGATCTCCCAGCTGCGGGAACTGGACGCCACGGAGCCAAGGGAAGTGACGCGAGCTGGGGGTGGGGGGATGGGGGGGTCCCTGTAGGTGTGAGACTCTGGAGGTTTAGGCCAGGCAGTAACCTGACATCTGCAGGCGCCCTCCTGGTCCCCAGCCCTTTGGGCGCGGGGTGGGGGTGAGAAGCAGAGGAGAGCGATCAAGGTGGGCTTGAGTAGGTACGGAGCAGAGGGGGTGTTTGGAGGTTCTTCTGAGAGAAGGACTGGTCTGTGGACAGGTGGGTGGAGCTGGGTAGTGCTGGAGTGGTTGATGTCTCCCTCAGGGATGCTGGTGGCATTAGTGAGGGTAGCGAGTAGTTTTGTAACAAATCCCAGGAGGGTTTACTTAGTCCAGAGTGCAAGGCCCTCTGCGTTAAAACCTTGACAAATCTTTGATGTTCAGTAAGCTCTCATACATTGGTAAACAGGATAGGTAAGAAAAATCTGAACAACGCAGAACAGCAAAAGAATGAAAGTAAGAATCATCAGGGAGCATTTGAGATCTTGCTGCCTGGCATGTGTCATCAGCTTGGCTCAAATAAACTTTTTTTTTTAAGGTAAGAATCATCAGAGTCCCTACAATAAAAAATAAATCCTTAAAATTTTGGAAAACATCCCTCCATGTACACATGTAGAGTCGTGTACATGTTTTTACTTAAATGAGATACTATGCAGATTACCTTAGAGACAGTTTAGCATAACAAAGCTTCATACTATTCCCCTGCATACATGTGCCACAGACTAGTTCCCTACTGATAGGCTTAAATTTGCAATGTTCCCTTGTCATAAACAGTGCTTCCAAGATCGCCTATGTGCATTTCATAGGAATTTATGAGACATACAAGCACCTTTTAGAACTTCTGAGATTATCTTCTTAGTGTGTACTTCCCAAAGAGGGAGTATGGGTAGGATAGCACATTGATGACACCTTAGCTACCCATTGCCCGGCTGTTGGAATTTGCACCCCCAGGAAGACTACATGAGAAGGCCTCCTTTCTCACATTCTCCCGGACAAGGGGATCAGCCCGTCGTCTTCTCTCTCCTGTAAACCTCAATGCCTGACTCCGGATTTGTAGTGATCAGGGCAGGCTCTGTGTATCTGCGGGGAGATCCTGGACATGCTGCTTTACCTGCCCAAGTATTAGTGGGAAGTACTGTCCCGGAGGGTCATTTTGGGGTTAAATAAGGCCTCCTTTCTCACATCCTCCCCGACAAGGGGATCAGCCCGTCGTCTTCTCTCTCCTGTAAACCTCAATGCCTGACTCCGGATTTGTAGTGATCAGGGCAGGCTCTGTGTATCTGCGGGGAGATCCTGGACATGCTGCTTTACCTGCCCAAGTATTAGTGGGAAGTACTGTCCCGGAGGGTCATTTTGGGGTTAAATAAGATGATACATGTGAAGCCCTCACCCTCTAAATGGTGGGTGTTTAATTATGCTTCATGGCTATTTTTTCTTAATTTTTTATTGATTTTGAGAGAGAGAGAGAGAGAGAGAGAGAGAGAGAGAAACAAGAATCAGTGGTTTCCTGTATGCACCCCGATTGGGATCATACCTGCAACCTGGATATGTGTCCAGACCGGGAATTGAACCTGAAACATTTTGGTGTACAGGACTACGCTCCAACCAACTGAGCCACACCGGCGCTATGTGCTGGTTCATTCTTTGAAGAGGCCAGACTTTTGTTCCTTCACTTATTTTTTTCCCCCCTTATACCCAGTATGACAGTGAACAATCAACAGTTTCTTTGGACACAGATAAGTTTGAAAATTTTTCCAAGAAATACTAGTATATCCAGAAGCAATGTTGCCGGGCAGTGGGCTTTGAGATTTGCAGGTTTTGTTTTTTTAGATTCGAAGTTTTACTAGATACTATCCAGTTATTTCCTGGAAAGATTTTACCTATTTACACACCAGAAAAGTCACAAAATATAAAATACAAATGCCCAGTACGCATTATCACAAACTAGCTGCCTTTTGTGGACCAGGTTATCTCACTTAACCCAATATCTGCTAGATTGTCTCTAATGTGAATGATCCATCTTTTACAATGTGTGCCACGCTGGGTGAGAAGCAGCATCTCAGCTTAATTTGCACATGCCTGATAACTAGTAAGGATGCACATTTCAGAAATAAAGTTATTGGAAATTTGGATTTTTTTTACTTGCTTATCCTTAATCTTTGCCCTCTTTTTCTGTTATTTTTCTTATTGACTTGTGGGTTTTATTAATTTAATCTGGGTAGATTTCTGTTTAATATATTGCAAAATATTTTCTATGAAGATGGTTGACAGTTAGGTCTTTGATTTCACTATTTCATTCTCATAGCTTTAATTTCCAGCTTATCTAGGTCAATAAATGGACAATCCCATAGTTGTCTCCAAGATTTAGTATAATTGTGATTGGATTTATATATAAGAATAGTTGTGTACAAGACAAGTGTGGTCTTAACTCTCTGATCCCCACAATTTTATCTTTCCTGAACTAAACATTAGGTTATAGTGGGTGTTAATAAGGCCAAAGTCAAGTCTATGTGGGTAAAAACCAAAGCTCTCCCAGCCTTGGTAAATAGAAGTCAGGATCTCAGACTGGTTGAGGAGGTGGATGGTCCTAGACCTAGCCCATCAGGTTTCCTGATGGGATAATAATGGATCCAGTTTTTAGTGTCTTGGGAGAGTGAGTGAGACTAACTAATGAATTTGAATGTTTACTACTCAATGTTTATGTGTTTGCTTTCTGTGTTTTGATAATTGGATTTTCCAGAACAGAAAACAAGCCACAAGAAAAAGAGGATACCATACACCTGTGTTATTGTTTCAAAGACTTTTGGGCCATGATTAACTTTAAGGGTGCCAACAAGGCATGTCTGTTTAATAGCTCTTTCTAAAATGATAGGATGATTTTGGGGCAGGAGGGAGCCACACTAGAAACTTAAAATGAAGTAGCTTTTTATATTGTTTGGTAAGAAGTTCACAATTTCCAGTGTCCTGGTAGTAATATATTCGAAATAATAAATCAGTTATTTTTGTAGAACTTGGGCCATTGTAGCCCCCTGCATATCGGAGCTGTGGGAGTAAATATTTTCTAGTGGCATTTCTCTGGGCAGATAAAAAGATTGCTATTGAGAAGCCAAATCGGTGCTCCTGATTTGGGGCAAGTATGTGACAAAACAGGTGATATTTTCCCCTCTTACAGGAAACCAAACCAAACACAGTCTTCCAGGCAGGGGCGGTTAGATGGAGGGTAAACACGTTTTGATGCATCATTCCTTTGGCTACAGGCCTCCTGCATGTGGGACTATAAATAAGTCATCATTTCACAGAGTACCAGGGGTGCAAGCCAAGCACATTATTTTGCCTTTGACCCTGGCAGTGCTTTTTTTGGTTAATACTTCACCATCTAGTTGGTGGATTTTTAAATGCTCGCCAATTTTAACACTGTTAATTTATGCAATATTTCATGAAGTCTACCTAATGTTAACGAGTTTACAAAATTCAGACCATAGTTCTAAATCAGAGTATTCAAGTAATAACAGAAGATAAATAAAAGAAGAGAAATGCTCATATATGTATTTTTCCATTCAACATTGAACTCTAAATATTGAGTCATAATAATTTCACATTTTTCAGCTCAGTCCCTGCTGCCACTATCAGGTTTTGAATTAATAATATATAATTTCCCCATTTATTTCCTTGATAGTAAGTGGTTTTAATGACACAGGGAAGAATATTTGTATAATAGTTTGATCAGTTATAGGTGTAATATGGGTTTACATTCCATCAGAATTAGAAATATCATTTTCCCATAATGTGTAATCTTTATGACAAAATGGGAAATTAAAAACCAATACTTAATTTTGTTTTTGCATCTAAAAGAAAATGCTATTTTCTGTTTGATATACTGATGCAAAATATGAGAAATGTGGCTTTTATTCAATGTGGCTGAAATTGGAAGGGCCATCGCTAGAAGAGGTGAAATGGACAAATTGTTGGTCTTAAGATTGGCTTAAGAAATATTTGTTGCCTGGCCAGCATGGCTCAGTGAGGGTCAACCTATGAATCAGGAGGTGACAGTTCCATTCCTGGTCAGGGCATGTGTCCAGGTTGCAGCTCGATCCCCAGTGTAGGGCGTGCAGGAGGCAGCTGAATCAATGATTCTCTCTCATCTTTGATGATTCTATCTCTCTCTCCCTCTTCCTTCCTCTCTGAAATAAATAAAAAAATTTTTAAATAAGAATCTTTAAAAAATAAATATTTTTTGATTCCTGTTAACCAGATACTTCTTGAGCCCACCAGGGAAGGTGGGTTGGCAGTTGGATAAACAAACTGTCCAGGTCATAGAAACACATGTCTCTCAATCATGAGAAGAGAAAGCCAATCTACCTACTGGACTTACAGTAGGATCACAAAACTGCAGGGAAAACCTTTATCCTTTTCTTCAGCTTTGCTAGTTGAAAGGACTATAGGTCTCTGTATTTTTACAAGTTGAATCTCATGTGCTGCTTCATAGAGAAACCTAGCCCTTTCAGTTAGCAAAGTAAAAAAGGATAAAGAAAAATGGTGCCTCCCAAAACTTCCTGTTTTTTAACCTTATGAAAGTGAGCTGGAAAGTGAGTCTGGTACCCAGAAAGCATTGAGTAAAGATTTCCCCTTGGCCCTATTTAATTGGACAGACACTGGTGACTTGCCAAAAACAATTGGTTGGTTGGTAGAGATCCAGGCACTGCCATTTTTACTGTGTTTATTAAATGATTATGTAATGTGCCCTAACTGGTTTGGCTTAGTGGATAGAGCGTCGGCCTGTGGACTCAAGG